GCTGGCGAAACGTTAGGAAACAAAACTTCCAGAACATGGCCACACAGCCCAGAACACCAGCCATCGTATTCTGGCCGTGAAAGCCTTCGACAATACAGATAATACTAAACTCTCTTTGAAAGTACAAGAAGGTGGCAAACAGTTGCAAGATAAAAAATATCTGAGGCTATGACTAAAGTTCCACTGGGGGAAAAAAAAACAATTAAATTGGCCACCTACTCAGCACACTAGGGCTATACTAAATTGCAGTGTGGATAGCAACAAAAGGATGGAACTTCTAGGCGATTTGCTGAATTGTGTAAGTGTCAAAACTTACACAAAATTGATATTACAAAAATTGTCAGTTAGAAGCAGAATTACAAATTATTACTCAAGTAGAAAAAATACGCCTCTGTGAAATAAAGTTGGGCACAGTTTACTCAAGCAGTAAGATATAAGGATTTTACCCTTTTTTAGCACATTACAGCAGAGCATCCTACAAATGTTCCTTCTTATACAGCTAGCTATACATCTACTGAAGCCTGGGAGAAGTATTATGAAGTATAAAGGTGCAATCACAGGACAAAATACATATCTGCTCTCTAGCAAGGACTTTCTGGAGTGGCCACCAGTAATAGTGGCTGGGATCAAGAACTGAATTGTCAAAACTAACAGAGCGTGTGTGTGTGTGTACATACGTACAGGTAGTTCTCAACTTACAACCACAATAGGGACCAGAAAATTCATCGTTAAGGGGTGCAGTCATTAGGTGAGGCGTCATGTGACTGAACCCAATTTTACGACATTTTTTGCAGCAGTTGTTAAGCAAATCACCATGGTCAAGTGAATCATGTGATCGTTAAGCAAATCACGCAGTCGTTAAGTGAAACATGCGGTTCCCCACTGATTTTACTTGTCAAAAGCCAGCTGGGAAGGTCACAAATGGCAATCAAGTGACCCCAGGATGCTGCAACCATCGTAAATATATGCCAGTTGCCAAAAACTCAAGATTTGATCATGTGACCGTGGGGACAATGTGACAGTCGTAAGTGTGAGGACCGGTCATAAGTAATCTTTTTCAGCAGCATCATAACTTCGGACGGTTGCTAAACAAATGGTCATAAATTGAGAACTACCTGCATATTTATATATAGATAGATCAGAAGTTTAAGTAAATTTAAACAAGAATATTATGCAGCAAGGTAAATACAAATATTTAGAATATGGTTTTGAAAACTTATGCCAACAGGCACTGCAAATCAATTGGAGTACAAAGGAGGAGGAAGCCAAAAATTAAATATTTACAATATAGTATTTTAACAGGCTTTTTCTTTTTCTTTTTTACATTTATAAGCAATAATATAGTGGAGATTTTGGCACTACTCAAAAAATTGTATTTCTTTTTGATATTATAAAAATAAGAGGATACTCTGCTTAGAACCTTTAGTAGTATCATACGGAGTAATAATTACATAACCTCAATAATTATCTGTTTATTCATAGATAGTATCTTTTTTGAAAATACAACTTTGTTTTAAGTAAAATGTATTTAAAATGACAAAAAAAAGAATTCAATTGTCTAACTGATACTAAGGAAGGTCCAAGAAATTATTTAATTCCACTTGAACTAATAAAAAACTATGTAGAGCAATGGAAAACTTTGACAGTGCTATTTTATTGATAAATACAGTTGTATTCCTAAGATTAGGGGCTTGCAATCATTATCCTCTATCTTTAAAAAAGGAAAAACTGATGATCCTGCTAACTATAAGCCATTAAGCTATTAATCATCATTAGCAAACTTTTCACTAGGCATATATAATGGAAACTATGGGACTGGACTTCTAGGGGAGGAACAGGCAGCTTTCAGGCAGGGACATTCTACTATAAATCAGGAATATTCAGTTTGATCAGATCATTGTATAAAGCCTTCACTGATTTATTTGTGACCTTTTTACCTCACCTTTTCTTCAGAAGCTCAGTGATGAACACAGAACTCTCTCAGCCTATTTTCCCCCCAACAACTCTGTGAGGTATGTTAAGTTGAGGGAGAATATGCTTCTGTGGTCAAAAGGGCAGGCGCTATGGATATTGGCTGGCAGGCAAAAAAGTGGCGGGAGCAACTCGCGGGAGCAACTTGTAACCTCTTGCTGGACTCCCCATTGACTTAGCTTGTGGGAAAACAGCAGAGAAGGTTGCAAATGGTGATCATGTGACTGCAGGACACTGCAACTGTCATAATTGCAAGCCAGTCACCAAGCACCCAAATCGCAATCATGTGACTGCAGGGATACCGCGACGGCCACAACTTCGAGGATCAGTAGTAAGTCCCCCTTGTTCAACACCATTGTAACTTTGAAATGAAAAATGTGGCTTGAGCTGAACGAGTGGTCATAAACCAAGGACTACCTGTAACTCTGTTGTTTTACATTACCTTATGCTGATATGATTGAAATAAAGTTTGTTATGCTATGCTTTTCCTGTATTGTTTACCTGATATGAATCACTTTCTATACTATACAACTGCCACTGTATGTGCTTTTATAGCATTTCAGGTCTATAAATTTTCAGCTCAGGGAAACTGCATTTTAGAATAGGAAAATCTAACCCAGTGGCAGGAGAGTGATATATATTAAAAATTTCTTTTTCAAAGCCAGGTTGGAATTCAGTCATTCCAATATCCAAAGTGGGAGATACTTACCTTGGCCTTTAGGCAAGGAAAGCCAAAATTCAAATCCCTAAGTAACAAATACAGTAAGGTTGCTTACTTAATAACCCTAGAACAGTCACTACTTCTAGACCCACCTAACCTATGCCACAGGATTGCTAAGGCAAGTATTTAGTTTTTTAAAAAATAGCTCATCATTTTGTCACATAACTTAAGTATATCAACATTTATCTTTACTATGTCAGCAGCAGTTTCTTCCTGAAGAATTAAACACCATTATTACAGAAAATTCTACTAGATTATTTTGCAGTGAGCATTCAGAAGATAGCCTTTATATTATACAAAAGCATGATATTGCTATTTAGTGCTATCAACATTTGTAATATTCAGATTAACCAACTAATGTTAATTCTAAAACTAGACAGATGACCACTGCAATCTAGGACTAGCATTCTCCAGGTCCAGAAATCTATAGGTAATCCAGATGTCTTTCTTACCTCTAAACTGTCACTGCCATCAGCTTCTCTGTCTATAATATCAAAAATATCTTCATGGATCTTTTCTCCCTATAAATCACATGAGACAAGACTAAAATGTTATTCCAAATTCAGTTGTAAATCCAGGTTCTTTTTTATAAACTTAACAAAATTATGTTTGAGGGAGGAATCAAAGTATACTTGCTCCCAGCTTCTTGGCTCCTTTACCTGTGAAAAGCCGCTAGCCCAATTATTTCCAGCCCCACCACCATGCTCAGATAGGTATATGTTCTCAGGGTTATAAAGGTTGGCATATGGGGAATTCAGAATGGAATGGATCACTCGTGGCTCCAGGTCCAAAAGAACAGCTCGTGGGATATAGTGCTCATCATCTGCCTATATAAACAGGAAAGAAAATACCATAAACAACTTGCAGAATTATACTTTGTTGAAATTCAACTCCCATAATCCTTCAGCCAATATAGGCACGGGATATGGGTGACAAGCGGGAAGGCTGATCTACACGAAAGAAACAGCTGCCACTAGAGGGCACAGTTAGTACTCTTCATCTTGTGCTCCCTTTCTTTACTCACTTGAACTTTAAACACACATTTAAACTATTGAAGGCAGCCAGTCTCTGGTTTCTTCAATAATGGTAATGAAACCAATATTGATGCCAGAGTAGCTGGTAATTCAACAATGGCAGACATCAAGTTCTCCCTGTCTTTTTTTTTTCATGTACAAGAAGTTACAGAAATATGTTCAACTGTCTAAAGACAGTAGATGTAGAAGACGTGGGGAGGGAAAATAAAGGCTTTGCCCCTCTTTCTTCCTACCTCCATTTTGCTATCATATCATAAGAATCACAATCAAACCTCTGGAACTGGTACAGACAGATAAACTGGGAGACAATCAGAGAATGGCATATTAACTGAGTGCCACTGTGAATATCTAGAGGGTTTTACAAAAGGCTACCATAGCAGAAGAAAAGAAATGATAGCAATTTTAACTTATTTATCATCTATAGGAATGGGGAAGAATTATTACAAGTACTTATTTAATGTAAAATCCACATGTAAAGATTTATATTAGAGGTCTAATGATTCAATACTTAAATAAAACACATGACAATTCTACAGTCCAAAACACTTCATTGTTCTAAATCATGGATGGCAGTCCACAGGCTAGACATGACTAACTGTTTTTCTTAAAGACCTGCTGCCCCCACCAATATCAAGCTTTATTATGGATGAGACTGCACACATGTGGTACTTGGCCTAACACCAGATACAACCCTCAAAGCTGAAAACACTGCCCAGTTATAGGATATCAGAAGTACTGCTTGTACAAATCTAGTCAGATTGCAAACAGCATGGAAATTGTTAAGTTATGACTCCTGTCAAATAAATAGTTCTGTACTATTTCACATTGTGCTCTTATAGACTAGCTTTATACAGCTATCTCTTGCCTTGACCTTTCAGCTTTTGGCCTCTTCTTCTTCATGTTTAATATAACAGTGAAACTGAGGAATGCAGTATTTAGTGGACACGCATCTGTGAAATTTCCTACTTTCCTTAAATGCTTCTTTTTGGTATGAAGGAGCTGTCATATAAAGTTGACAGATGGAGGACATGAAAAGGGAAATTAGACTAGGGGTGGCTAAGCACTGGAGGAAGAGACAGCGGGATCATGAAGATTAGTGCTTAGAGATTTTCCACAAAAAAAAAAAAATCTGGATAAAGTGTGTATGGGGGTAATGCTGGGAGCAGGGGTGAGGGACAAGCAGGGATAGAAAGCATTGTTTTATGGCACTGAAGAAGTACGGTTGTATACTTTGGTGATCAAGGTTCCACAAACCATAATGGATTTGTATTTACAAAATGTTCAAGTTATTTAGTGTGGTACTATAACATTATGTTTTCTCATACACAATATTTAAGGCATAATACCACCAACCTTTGGGTTTATATATGCTTTCCACTGTATTCCACAGATTCAATACCCAGGGAATGTATACAAAAGAAACATTAAATAATCTGTAAGTGTCTTACAAAAAGATTTCTGGAAGCATGAAATTGGAATCTGCATATGCAGAGAATAAGCTGCTGAATGCTATCTCTGCTAGCTGAAATCCCAGGATGTTGCCACCAGATTCCAACACTGCACTCCTTTTTTTTCCTAATTTTAATTTCATTTTTAAATTATAATTTTCCCTAAGCACTTAATATACAGGGTGTACCAAAAGTCAGGCCCCATAGGCCGATCATTACATGTTTTTTTTTTCCAGAAAAAATATTACTGTATTTAGAAGGATTCCCCATTTTACTAGAAATCTGATTCTACCTCCAAAGTATTAGATATGTTTTCCTAACATTCAACAGAAATCTGTTTACCTTAGTTTAAGATGATCATTCACAGCATGAAGTCAGAAATGGTGTCAGTATTCTAACACTTCAGACCTTTAAATTCAGGTCTCTAAGCCTGAATTAAACTAGCAACCTCAAAGTCTAGAAATAGATTCCACTGTTGTACTGAGACCAGCTTATGGAATGAAACAGAAGCTTCCAACCATGCCTCTCAGGAGTAACAACCTCCACAGAAGTTAGTGATTCCTCCCAAAAAAACCAGTCCTCCATTACTAACAGCCATCAGATATGCTTGCTGGGTTCCAGCCATTTCTGATATGAAACCTTCTCAGAAGCCAGTAAAACACTGGGAACAATAGCTTGTTCTTATAATTTTGTACTTGAAACTGACTGGTTTTGCTCACCTTAAGCCTTGATTTCTGTTCCTGCCCCTACCTTCTAGGGTTTAGGCCTTCCTAATCTGCTGCCTCCAGATATGTCGGAACTACAACTTTCAGAATTTCCAGTCAGTGTGCTTATAGGCAACACTATCTGGGAAATATAATCCCAGTACTCTTGCAGGGCATCAGTCTGAGTACAATTATCCTAAAGCATATACTTTTTTTGTAACCTGCAGAACTGATAAACAGCTCATCTCAAGTTATTAATAGAAATGTTCAAGAGTACTGTGTCCTAAATCTCACCAATGAAAAACAACAACAAAAAAGATAAATGAATTAATTTTTTTTTCTGATTAAGAGATTTTTCAATCTATTCTTCAGTCTCAAACAGCAAAGAATTTTCAGAGATGTAGCTTTGGAACAAAGATCTATCAGGGTATGAGCAATAGGAAACCAGCTATGGAAATGATAATTTATAATGTCCTAATTCTCCACTCAATTAAGCCCAGGGGCTAATAATATAAAGTCCATAACACTCCTAAAGTCAATTAAGCCCATAAAGCCCCAAAAGTAAAAGTCAAAAAATGTTTTAGCATTCTCCCATTAAGATATTGCAAGATCTTGAGAAGATAAACACAATCCCAGATTTTTAAAAATGCTAGAATATCCAACATCAAAAAAGATTGCTGATACCTCTTCTAATCCACTTCATCTGCCAGTCACCATTTACTCCTTCCTTCCTTTTGCTATTATATCCAATCCTTTTACTTTTCTTCCTTTACCTACCTTCCTTACTACACTTGATCTTCCTCTTCCTAAAAATGTTGGGCTATTGGACTCCCTTACAGCTGACGATGATAACGTGCAATTCCAAAATACTCTGCATTTATGCCATTAATTTTAACATGCCCCAAAGTTATTGCTAAGTACTTCTATTATACTAACACCAGTGTCAGTATTGCCATCACCCTAGAGGAGAAGTGGGGCTGAATACCCAAAGAAAAACAGGAACATATGAACAGCAAAAAATCCAATGATGTTCTCGTCCCTGGTACTAGGGCTAAAGCATATGCACATATATATTAAATGACTAAAACTTCATAAGGCCATCAAATCTTCTGAGATTTTGATATCACCACTCTGTATCTTGCCTAATTTTGTTATTTTTGTCCCAAATCTCACAGGTTTTCAGGAACAAACACCAGAATTTTATGAAACTTGATAGCCTCCTGAAATTAGGCCATTTTTTAAATTATTTTATTTAATAGGAGGAACTCACATGTACTCTAGTACCCACAGGCGCAGTGTTGTGAGCCTCTGGCTTGTGCAATCACCCTCAAATATTTTAAATGACATTGCAGCAGGATATATAAAAGATAAACATTGTTTACATGGTGCAGAAACAATAGTTTCCAAACTTTCTGGTGCATAAATGAATTTATCAGTTGTAACTGGTCTTTTTAAATCTGAACGCTTTTTCATCTAAAGGTTTATTTTCACAAAACGTGGACAACTTTCCTAAAACTATTGAAAGCAAAGCCCAAGTAGATGAGCATTAAAAGTGCATAAATTGAAATCAGTTGTGGATTATGTTTTGACAATCAATGCTCACTCAATCCCTTGCACACAATCGAAAGACCCCATGATAGGAACAGAAGAAAGAAAAATATTCTACCTGATAGAAAAAGACATCCTTACGGTCAGTGCCTTCAGTGGCAAACTCCTCTACGATACCCTCAGGGCTAATACCATGTTCGGCACAGAGCTGTTTCCAAAATTCAAACCCAACTGTAAAAACAGGAAGCACAAAAATAGATATTTTCCTGTACCCCACCAGAGAGAAATGGTCTTCAAGAGGCAATGGGGAGAGATGGGTTTTATTATGAATTCCACATCACAGTATTTTGATACGACAGTATTATCTTTGATACGGTTCTTATGCCATCCCCTAGGCTTTACAAACCTGGAATTGCCTCAATTACCTATGGATTAGCAGCCCAGGCAAAACAGAATTTAATATGATTCTATTTTTAAAAAAATATTGCACGGCGCAGAGAGCAAGCGACTTTCTTCTTCTTCTCCTTCGAAGGACAACCCCTCTCTTTTCAAACATTTCTACCCACAACACAAGTTTTGGTCCCACTGCTTCCCACGCGCGCGCGCGCGCACACACGCGTGTCCCATAGGCCCCTTCTCTTGGCCTTACTTTGGTTACCACACTGCCCCAGCTGCAGAGTGATGATCTCTCGTGGCATAGTGAGCGTGGGTCAAAATCCAAATCCGAATCCTCTTCCTCCGTAGCTCGAACACGGTTCCTTCCCTCAGCTGTTCCAGTCCTCCTAGAAATAAAAGCCGTTGCTAACCGTATTATGCGTCTTTGCCTCTTCCCGCCGCCTTTTCACCTATACGCTAGCTTTATTTTGGCAGCGCGCATGCGCTGAAGTAATTAAAACAAAAGCATGGGGGCGGGTACGTGCGCATTTAATTTTTCCGTACAACAAGATGGCGCCTCCAACACTGTCACTTCCTGTGGTTTCAGTCGGCACGGGGGCGGCCATGGGACTGTGCGTGAAGTGGTAGGGTAGCGGCCGCGTTCAAGCTACTGAGGTGGCGGCAGCGGCCGTTGGTGACGAAGAATGGTGATCCTACCCTTTACTCCACCGGTCTCCCGGTGATGCTGGGCGAAGGAAGAATGGCAGCGGCGGAAGTAGCAGGATGGGCCGCCGGCAGTAGTAGCGGCGCTAACCACGGCGGCGGCGGCGGCGG